GCATGCTGAGGGTGCTGTTTTCTCCGTCACCTTCCTTTTTTGCTTGGGCGTCTGGTGAAGTGTAGCTACGATGAGGCTTCAGCTTGCCGGTTTCGGGATCGACGATGACCTGCAAGTATGCCAGGCCCTTGATCACGTTGGCCTCGACGACAGTTCCAGCCACAGGTGCTTGTTGGCGATGGTAATCGTAGGTGTTGAGGTATGCATGCATAAAGGTGCCGCCCTCGAATTTGTCGGCGTACTGACTGCCGGCGAGGAGGTCTTTGATGTTCCAAGGGACGTCTTTGATCGTGATATCGTTGTTCTGATCAACGGGCCAGGCTCCGTCGAAAGTGCAATCGGCGGGGTAGACCACGAGACGGTTATAGTCTACATCCGAGGGTTCACCCGCGCTGATGGGTCTCTGGCCAGGCTTCAGAGAGCGAGCAAAGAGCTGGTTGAAATTCTTCCAACCCCCGAGCGGCACGATCGCCTCATCGTAGTTGTATCGGGGTGAGTCTTGGAAAGTCTGGATTGCTGCGGCGTTGATCGAGCTGCTGGTGTCCATCCAGCTTCCAACCTTGTTGGCAAAGTCGATTGTCCATTGGCTCAATGGTAGGGGGGCCTGCCCGACAGCGTTCGGGGTGATGGGTGTCGAGTATGGGGGAATGTTGATGGGGCTCTGGTCGAGAATAAAGTAGAGAACGCAGAACGTGTTGTAGATGAGCTTCCCGCTGCAAATTTCCGAAGGCACCCAGTTCAGCATGGCACTGAGGAAGCGGAGAAAGGTGTCAGCGTCCTTGATCCCCCAATCGCGCAGCTGCGGAATTTCTTGGGCAGTTGCTGCGTTCACGGCCTCTTGCAAGAGGGTCAGATTGCCATCGAATATATTTTCGACGAGGCTGGTTTGTATCCATGGGTCTACTTTGGAAGATAGAGGGAAAGGGGCGGGATCGGGCGGTGAGGATGTCGGAAACATGGCTGCGCTGAGATTGTGATGGAGAAGATCAGTCTGGATTTGAAGATAGTAAGGTAAGTTAGCTAAAGCAACTTTGGGTGAGGAATGATAGAAGAAAGATGCCACAAAGCCAAGGTTTGTCAATACTTTATAACCCTCGAGACGAGTAGCTCTCTCGAGCGTTGCCGAGCTTAGAAATGCGATTGCAGCGAGAAGAATCACGAGACTGCTTCAGCTGATGCTACTAGATGCTGGCTTTGCGACGTTTGCATTCCGAATCTCTCGTGTCTGGACCATTTGCTACCAGTATTCCTCCTCATCGGTCCATTGTGAGACAGAGCTGAAAGCCACGTACTCAAAGAAGTGATGCCTAGACTGCAAACATCACCACGGAACTTGCGCTGTGGTACTTGAGCTGAAGGTAGTAGAATGCACATCGCTCATCTACCGAGTACCGGGAATATCATGATTCGCATGGCTTTTGCTGGAACGGCCCAACCGCTGATGTTCTCTTCGTCGGGTGAGTGAACACGACATGTTGGTGGTTCGTCCCCAGACTCGAGACATGTGCCATTGCCTCAGCTCCAATTAGGACTGAGACAGCGGGCGGCAAGTAAGAGCTCCCGCGGCCGGAGTAGGACTGATGTGCTTTGCTTTGATTTCTGTGGATGGACTAGATCGAAGGGACACTCAGGGTCTGGAAGCTCTGTAGCACGAGCTCTCATGTCAGTCCCGGATCGCTTACCCTGTAGTATTGATGTGGTCGGTATACTCGTTTTCTTCGGTGACTGAGAGACCAAGAGCTCCCGTGTAAGAGACGCAGCTGCCATGAGCCGATCGTCTAGAATCAAGTTCTGAGACGGCTCTGCAAAGTTTGCCGCAGATAATAACATGGTTTGTGTTCTAGGTAAATCAAGGTACCCTACTTTAGGAAAAGAGTATTGAAAGACGGTCATGCTGCGTTGGTACATGTGCTAGAGCATTGCCCTCGGCCTACGATGTTGCAGCCAAGCTCTGTTCGGCGCTGCGAACAACGTTCACCATATAATTCCGCAGCAGGTACGCTTGGTCCTGCCACCGGAAAACATAGCAGGCACCAGTATTCCAGAAATCATTTGTAATAAAATGGTCAAGAATGGATTCCACTTCCCCTTGAGTAACCTCACCTGAGTTGTATGATGATCAGATCAATACCTTAGTGGGCAAGACCTATGCGCCTACAGTTCTTTGGTACTTATCTTCGGTAGGGAGGTTCGTGTCCGTTTTCACTGAGCAATGTCAAACTGTGTGGGCTGGGAATCTGGTCAGGTAAAGGTACCTAAAGTAAGTAAGTAGCGGTACTGCTGGGTCAACGTGAAGCAGCAGAGAAACTTGCTTTGGGGGAGATAGGGGCTCTCAAGCCGCTTTAATCTCCTTCCGCAGAAAACTGTTATTGGAGGCGGGAGCGATTCTGGATTTTTTTTTCATAGCCGTGATAGGGACGAACCCAGCGAAGGGTTCCGGAAGCCGGGGAAGAAAGAGAATATCGGTACCTACTCTTGCCAATAGATCATGGTTTCCCTTGGGAATCGGAGCCATCCAAATGAGTAGAGGCTCGAGAAACGAGGCAACCGTGGTTCAATCTCCAAGATCTCAGGTAGTTCTGACTCCAGACTTGGCATGATAATGGTGAAGTTTGGCCTACCTGGGAAATACGTTTGGCACTGTCCGCAACTTTCCGTAATCACAACAAAGCTTCAGATGTGGCTTTTAGAAGAACACCCGGCAAACTACTGAACGGGGAGTTCTACCATTTGAATACGAGGTACATGTCCTCAACGCATGACTAAGAATGTCGTGGGCACAGGGTTAATACCAGGCTCATGTTATGTATTGATCTTGGTAAGGTGTCGTTCTGAACACATAACTTAGGATAACAGAGATCGACAGGCTGAATGGACCCATAACAACGTTACCTTGCATCCGGTTGCTGCCGGGGCACTTCTTCTGCGCAGTTTTATCCCTAGGAAATGACGGGTAGTGTCAAGTAATGACATGAGTGCCTCAGTAGCGGTCATGCTCTCTCATCGCTTTTGAGAAATGGATCCCACTAGCCTTACTTTGACCCCATAGGTGTGTCACAGTCCTTATCATGGAAGCACCAGACTTCACTTACGTGCAAGTCATTCGCTGTCAACGTTGTCCTTCCTTATTCGGAGTCAAGGCCTCATATATTTCCGTGTGTGGCCAAGTCGGGCAACTTCGCCATGCCGCACGGCCCCTTCCGTGAAGACGGATGAAATACAGACGGACAAATGGATTTCGTCCATCCCGAAAGAGGTTGATTTCAACTTGATCATGTACTTATGGCAGGCTGAATTCAAAGTAGGCGATACGTAGTCTGTAACAACCCACTGTTCGCTTGCTGGTAATTGCCCGAGGAAGGACGAAGCCGATTGGCCATGAACATCAAGATGCTTGTCAACTGCACTCTAAATTTCTGCTTCCCCATACCGCCGGATTTTGTATTTCATGCCAGGGCTACCCTTTTTTCTGTTTAGAAATACTGCTGCCTCGTGCGGAGACGGTACAAAATGCTGCTGCCTTGAGGGTGGAGGTTAATGTAGTAGGTCGCGGGCCTTTAGGCGCGCTTAACGCAAGGCGATAACTGCCACTCTGGGATATAGATGGTCCACATTTAGAAATCCTTCAAATTACTGTAAGGCTTTGCGGCAGGATCATTTGGCACATATTGATTATGTCTGCATGAGACGTGAGCCTACGGAAATACCGGCCTAGAAGTCTTAATGGTCTTCGTTTTAGACTCAAAGTTGGGACTGAATCATGAGCCATAGTTTCATGGACAGTGAATTGACTCCGCGTCACACCTTTAGCTCATTCCAATCTACTGCCAAGTCAGAGCAAGTGATCTCGACCTGATTGTATCTCCCATGGAAAAAGTCGGGACAAACATAAAATCAAGAAACGCCATTGGGGTAGTTATGACAAACTCGGATGCAATTGGCCAAGTGCTTGTCGTTCATGCAGGGGGCAGAATGCAAAAGACTTCATCTGGAGCTCAGCCCTCCTTGAGCCAGGGAGGCGCCCATCGCCTTTCCGCTCTAGGGATGTGTTAAACTGTTGCCTAACTGTTGGTTCCACGATTAATTCGTCGTAAAACTTTACGAACCACACTTTTTCCACACCAACGGTTACTCCTGGTTCACCAGCATCCACGTGCGTCCATACGCAAGTGAGCAGCACTATCGTCGTAAAAGGAGGTTTCACTCAGGCCATTGACGGCTGCCGAGTTGTGGCGAAGCTGTTAATGGGAGATCGACTCAGTGTCATTGTAGCCAATCTTCAAAACCCGATACGAATGGGGAGGCAGCCAGGCCACAGGTGATGAGTTGAGTAACTAGCCGCTTGATGGGGCTGATCCCAAAGAGTGTCTAGCATCATGTCCCGTACCTCCATCGGTCTAATTCTAAAACCTAAAGAATGGGTTTGTGACGATGATTTGTCGAGTCAGGAGAGATGATCCATGGTACAGGCCAGCAAGGTACATCTAGTCTAGGAGCAGCCTGTGGCAGTACCTGGGCAATGTTGAACTGATCAAGAAGTCTGTACTCTAAAGTCTTTGTCTGGGTGCTGCGAGCCACATGAAGTCTCCTTTATTTAATAGAATACCATGTGTTCGAACTTCCTCTTGAGAAAAAATACCTCAGATCCAAGTTCTATTCGGAGTCGTTCCAATTCACTGTACGTTCGTTGATAGCGTTCTGCAAACATCCTTATTTCTGAGACTCTTTTCTGTGATACCCGACTTCATTTTCTCTACAAGCTTCTAGGATTATTATCCCCAACCTTACTCAGCCCTCTGTTCATTCTTTACTTTCACGATATATCCTCAACTTTAGCGACGGATTCCTTCTTCGATTCTTCTCCTCAACCTGTTCGAAAACCGAGAACCATCAACGATTACCTCCAACGAAAGCATAAGAAGGAAACGTTTCTGGTGTCCAAGATGATAGCACTCCCTGGAAAAGCAATGTTGAAGGCTTCGGCGCTTGTTACCTTAGCCATGACGGCCGCCTTGGTTGTTCATCAACTCAGCTACGCAAACGACTTCGCTCTCCCAAACCAGTCCATAGAATTGGTCAGGTTCTGTAATGCTTCTGAACGCTATGGAAAAGACCTTATACATCCCACCGAAGCATCCACACCACAAGAGCCCATTCCTAAAATTATTCACCAAATCTGGAAAACCAACGATACAAGCACTTACCCAGGTTCGGGGGAGCGCATACAAGCTTCATACGAGACGTGGAAACATACGATGGAACCTCTCAACTATACCATCAAACTATGGACAGACGAAGATGTTCTCGAACTTATAAAGACAGAATACTCTTGGTTGCTATCGACATACGAGGGCTATGCCCAGAATATTCAACGAGCCGATGTGGCGAGACTGGTCGTTGTCCATGCAGAGGGAGGCATTTATGCAGACTTGGACGTATACCCCAGATCGACTGAGGTGATGTCCTGTATGCAAAGCCTCGGCTTACAGGCTGTCTTCGCCCCGACATCAAATACTCTTGGACTCAGCAATCACTTCTTCATGGCACAGCGTGGCTCCTCCTTTCTCGAATGGGCTCTCCAAGAAGCTAAGCGACGCGGCGGTGCGACCTCGAAACGAATCCTCCTTCCCTACCTCCAGGTATTCTGGTCGACAGGCCCGATAATGGTCACATATGCGTTCCATCAGTACGCGTGGATGTACAGCACATTGCATCACGGCGTGGCGTTGCTGGATGAGGGATACGCCCGGAAGCTGTTCGGCCACGCGGCAGGACGCTCGTGGCATGGGTCAGATGGGCAGTTCTTGAACTACGTATCAGATCACCTGGGAACTGTTTTGTTCTGGGTTACTGTGTGCCTATCTGTGCTGTCTTTGGCGACCATAATCGTCCTTAAGAAGAGTCGCGGGAAGTCCATTGACTTTCTTGTAGGTTGCGGATCTGTTTGTAGGAAGAAGAGCTGGGTAACCAAAGTATAAGCTGAGTTCCGTCAAGTATCATACCCTGCCTTATGTTTTCCTTCTTGTCTAGCTTCCTTGTAATCTATGAAGCATCTCTAAGTATGCATGCTTCAACATCAGAAAAGAAATATTAGAAGATTGATCACATGGAACCATTCGGGTTCATTCCGGACAACGTTCAATTCATACTTAGGATGTATGTGTAGCAATACATTATTTCAATTACAAATACTGCGTTGCAGCCCTTGTTTGATGAAATCCATTGAAAGATAAAGGCATCGCTAGACTGCCTCAAGTGGGAGATTCCCTCCCTTGAAGATGTGACGAGAGAAAAATATAGGAAATTCATAGCAGTCATTATTTACGGGAACACGATTGAGGCCGGGCTGTCCGTTATTCCCTCGTTGGACGCCTAGTCAACCTCACCCAAAAGTCCCTGGCGACGAAGAAAATCGCACTGAGAGTCTTGATTGGTTTTTCTGGGTTCATGACGGTGAAGTCATATCTCCTCAATAGCTGTATGAAGTTAGTAAGATGCTGCACGGAAAGTGTATGAGGAAAAAATTTTACCTCGACGAAGACTTTGTTTAACTCCATCATGGCGATCGGTTTTCCGAGACAAGAGTATTTACCGTGGCCAAAGTGGGAATCAACTGCGGCGTTCATTCGTCTGAGACCATCTTCATTTGCCGAAAGCCATCTCTCTGGGCGGAAAACATCGGCATCCGGACCCCACACCCAGAGTGAGCGTCCGACGCCGAAGAAGTTGTGTCCGATCTGGGTGCCGCCAGGAACAAAATAGCCGTTTAGGATGTCTCCGCCCTCCGGTGCTTGCTTGAAGCCGAGGCCAGTGACAGGAGGGTAGAAACGCAGGCCTTCGCGGATGACGGCTTGGAGATATGGAAGTCTCAGAGCTTCGGCATTGGTGATGGGAGAACTGATCAGGCCGGCGGCAGTAGCATCGTCGATCTCCTGCTGGAGCCGACGGTAAGCAACCGGATTGTTAATTAACGATAATAATGTCATGCGCATGGCTTGTGCGGCCGAGTTTGTGCCAGCGATCCTGATATGTCATGAGCATATGAATCGAGGAAAGTTGTGGATGATACTCACATGTGGATGTACACGAGTTGAATAAGTTCATCTTTGCCGAGACCTTGGTTGATGAAAGCTTGCATCATGTCTTTCTGGGGCTTCGCGCCGGGTTGAAGTCTCATTTCAGCGTAATTTTTAGCGAAGCTGTGTTGTGTTATTAGTGATCAGACTCATGGATGGTGCCAGGCCCAACATTGGCTTCACTCACCCCATCAAACGACCAAAGCCGATCTGGTCATCCTCCTTGGGTAACATGAGCCTGAAAGGCCATTTGTGAACAAGTCTCCCAAGCCAAGGAAGCACCGAAACGACGTTCATAATGGGCAAAGACGACTCGTTAATCTCAATATACCGAAATAGGTCCCGGTCCTCTGCAAGAAACCCGAATGCACCGCCGAAGGAAACATCGCCAATGGCGTCGAGCGCAAAGAACTGTGTCTTCTCGGCGAGATCCAGCGGACGAAATTCCGAATCGGTGGAAACGTAATGTCGGTCTATCAGGCTAACAAAATTCATGAGCTGGCGGTCGATCCCGACCTCAAAGCCATAACCTTCATTCTCTTTGGCGGTGTACTATTCAGCAACGCAGAGAGCGCAATTAGCGGACTTGAACTCAAAAGTGGCAGCGCTTCTGGGGGTCACGAAAATACCAGCCAGCGGAAGTCTGAGGCCACAAAGGAAATTCAAACTTACGGCCGGTCCCATTCTCGCCCTCATAGCCTTATGTTCGTTCTCGTCCCGCATCGAGACAACATTATCTACGCCCGGAGTGATCCGGCCGGAGTCATAGAAATCGCCCTTGGTGTACGACGAGCGGACGGCCGACATCTTGCGCAGTGAGTCTGGGTCTGTGCAGAGGAGCTCGTTGGGCCCAATGCGAGCGAGTGGTCCTGCAATGACGATCAGTGATCAGCGTCTGTCTCTCTAGTTTCTTGGGGTGCTTGTTGGCTTGCTATCGCAACTCCAAAGCCACCGGGCGTGGTTTCTCAATGGCAATGAAGAAGTCCACTCACCATATTTCCTCGCAATATCATTCAGGTGCTCATGATATGTTCCCCCAATTGCCTTTTTCAATTGCCAAAGGACTGAGATCGAGGCTAGGAAAGGTCCAGGGATCTTTCGCAGGCGATACCATGACCGAAACTCCCACACAAAAAAGGCGATGGCGGCGACTAGGGCGATGGATTTTGCGATTAAGACTCCAGACATGCTCAAGCCTGGAATGGGTTCCAGATGACCCTCATCCAAGCCCACTTGATTGGGCCCGAGACCGGCCATTCCCCCCGAACCTCTTGTCCTGCTCGCGTAGAAAAGATTGTCTCGTCCCGTCGCCCGTCCCGTGCCGTTCCAACAGTCTCACTGGCGCACCCCCGATTCGCTCTTGCTGCTGCTGCGCCGCTTGGTAGCTTGCTTCGCTTGTAGGCGGTCGTCCCGTGTTCTGGGCAGGAAAGAAGGCAGATACTTGGCGCCGTCAAAGATGCATATATGTCTGCTTCGTCGCTGATGTGATTGTAGCCCTCGTTTCCTGGCTCTATTGTCGCTTGCCATCAACTGCTGTTTGTCTAACTGTGCTTTCTGGTGCTGCAATAGCTTAAGCCCTGTGTTGCCTATATCTCGATAGTGCTTGATAACTGCTGTCTGGTGCCTCACCCGTCTATTTTGTCGTTGGTTGGCGCATGCGTAGACCCTGTCGCTATTTTGTCATTTCTCGTTCGTCGCGGGCCCGATGGCTTGGTAACGCCTTGCGGGAGAGAGGCACAGCAGCCGCGACAGCGCGGGGCAAGCGGAAAAGAAACAAAACTGCAGGTCCAGGGCGTCGGAATCGGGGTTCACGCTCGACGATGTTGGCCCATGAGTATGGGAAGAGTAAGTGGAGGAGAAAATGACACGATGAAGACGACAAACGAGAGATTGGGGAATAAGCTTCGCTTTATTGGCAAATGCAACCCAAGGCTGGGTGAGCGCCCATGTCCAAGGTGAAGAATCGTGGCTGCAGAGGACTAGTAACAGAGGAGGGTAAACCGGGAAGAAGCCTGGAATCACGCTGAACAAGGCCATTTGCACTAAGGATTCGCGCTAGGTGAAGCATGTGGAAGATGTGGAGGGTCACTGGCCCGAGGTCACCTATCAAGCCTGCTTCTTCCCCCTCAGCATCCAGAGTTGTATCCGTATGCTGTAATGTGGTGTTCGGCCCTATGGATGAACCTTATGCCATGATGAATATAGCACAATATACCCGGGATATTCCAAGACGTCAATCAAGCTAGGCATTGTGTACTCGGGAGATGGAAGTTGATTCATTCTACACAATGGGTTACTATGCGTGTAGGGAGATGGATTTCTTATGCTTCTAGGCCTCCTCATCTTTGGTCCGTGACCTGATTGTCTTGATTTCTTTGTCTCGGCTTAAGATCCACCCTTTGACCGAGTGTTCGAATTCGACGAAAGCCAAGTGCAGAGAGGCATTGTCTTGAGCAATCAGAAAGCATCTATCTGGGGTCACATATGCAGGTCAACACTTGCATGCAAGGTGCCGAAGAGCTCCTCTCGACAGCGCCGTGCCATCTCACCGGTGACATCCACCCGCCCACTATAGCTCAACTAATGGGATGGTTTCTCTCTTATGGTGTCTTTCAGTAGTATCTTCTTCATCCAAGTCTCCAATCTCACTGCACACCTGTAGTTTGCCGTGAGTCCTTACTAGTTAGTCCCAACACTTAGCCTGTTCCGTGCCCTGTTGCATTGCAAAGTGCGCTAGAACAGCGCCGGTCCATGCGGCCTACCCCCAGAAGCCATTGCTGAACTCCAATCCCGACGAATTGACTAAAGTTCTTGTGACGGCTAGCCATCTGAAATCCCATCATGCCGTTCAGATAAGCGCTGATAATCGTGAGACAGAACGAGATGCTCTCTCATTTCGAGAAGAATTGCAGTGACTCAATCAAGTGCTTTCCGGAGCAGAAAGGCCCACTCGTAGGATCTCAATCCGCTGTACCGCCATGCGCAGTTCCCTGCGGCAGCGTCTGGTGTTACTGAGGACCACTGCCTTTAATATTTCCAAGCAAACTTCTCTCGGATAAGAGACCTACATAAGACAGAGCTAAGATCAACAACTGGGAAGTCGAATTGAGAGTCAACTCATGACCCGTACCTCTACTAAGTTAGCGGCAGCCTCAGGCCTATATCACACCTCGACAACCAGGTTCACGAACTCGCGATAGCCTCGACCCAAAAAGGGGTGATGAGAGACACCTACTAATCAAAAGAATGGACGATCTGGGAATCGAACCCAGGACCTACCGCATGCTAAGCGGTCATTATACCACTAAACCAATCGCCCGTACAATGATCTAGCCCGGACTTGAACCGGAGACCTTCAGTGTGGCAGACGAGAGAATTGAGAGGCTCTCGAACTGTTAGACTGACGTGATAACCAACTACACCACCAGACCAAGTTGCTTGATGACTCAGCTCAAGCAGACACCCTATCTGAAGGGTTGGCCGACTGTGCGGAGGGCATCACGAAGCGATAGGGCTTGGTGGGTTGGTGGACAGGTGCAACTTGCAAGGGGAGCAGCAATCCACACTGGCATGTGGGACAGCCAAGATCCAGGCCCGCCCACGCACGTCGCAACAGGGTTCTGTCTCAAGCCGAATTAACAGGGGAGTTAGGACAATGCCATGGGCATCTACTTCGTATGAAAAACGGGATCACAAACACGAATAGACGTAGATGTAAGAATCGAGAACTTTTGTTTCATATTCACATGATGACGTGCTCTGAATCATTCCTCGCAATGCTTCCAACAAATAATCGCCTCAACCGCGCCAAACGGCCTCGATAATGACAAAGAAAGTCAAGGGGTTGGCCTCAACACGCTTGATCTCGTATCTCTCGTCCGCCTTCTTGAACAACTCTGTCCACGCGTCGACAGGTCTCTCCTTTGCGCTGAAAAGACCCATCATTCTCAGATCCGTTGAAGTGCCCATCTGCTGAATAGACTTGGGCAGCGCCGCAGCCGCCGCGGCGTTCTCCTCGACGTCACCCTGCTTGCCGACATAGTCGATGAAGAGAACTCGGGCACCAGGGCGCAGTGCCGGTGTGAGACCCTTGAGAATCTTGATAGACTCCGCATCGGGCCAGTCGTGGAGAATAAGCTTGATCATGTACAGGTCGGCGGACAGGGGCTGCGGCTCGAAGAAGCTGTGGGGCTGGAAGTTGACTCGGCCCTTGAGCTCCTCGGGAATGTTTTGGTTGAAAGAAGTCTCGCAGTTGGGCAGGTCTTGAACAGTGATCTTGAGGTTGGGGAAGTTCTTCGCCAAAACGAAGCTGTCGTGGCCACCAGAGCCGCCGAGCTGTAAAGGGGGTGTCAGTCAATGATTTCCTGAGATACTGGGATGTTGCGCCACTAAAGCCCCAAAAACAACTTACATCGACAACGCTGAAGTCGCCAGCGGCCTTCCAGTCGTAGGCACTGTTGACCAATCCCTCCAAGCGGAAGATCTCTTTGATGTAGTTCATCCACTTGACGAAGTTTCTCTGGCGGAAGCCCTTGTTTTCGCCCTCACCGTCGTTCTCCAGCAGCTCCCACGAGTTTGTGTATCCACCACAGAGTTCGCCAGAGTGGTACAGCGCAAATGCAGTCTCCGTCATATCCTCCTTCAATTCTGTCTTACCGCGCTGGAACTTCTCCAGTGCGTAGGGAAGGACACCCATAGCCGGGCCAGCATCGTTCATGAGAGCCTCAACCAGCGCCCTGAGGCCGGCGTTCTTCAGCAGCGCAGCAGATCGCGAGGTGTGACGGACGCGAGTGGTGAAGGGCTTGCCGGGATCGGTCTCCTCAAAGATGCGCAGGGTGTAGGCGTGATCAAGGACACGGTGGACCACTTCTTCGGGCAGGCGGACGTGCTTTGCGATGTCTGCGTACGAGGCGTCGCCATCAATGGGCACGGCGGACCAGAAATCGAAGTGGTTGAGGGTATTGAGTGATGCGGCATCAGGAGACATCTATTCAGGGTCAGCTATCTGAGTCACGGCACCAAGAATGAAGAACAGCAGCGAAGAAGGGCAAGGACTAACTTACATTATGGGTGTAGTTGAAGATGCTCTCACTTGGTCCTGAGACTAGGTAGGAGAGATCGTTGGCGGCGTCCAACAGCTTCTGGCGGAGCAAGAAGGCTTCTGACGTGAGGCCATCGTAGCTTGAGACGCTGTCCGCGGCAAAAGTAGGCTGAGGGATCTTGTTTTCGCTCAAGAATTTGGTGAACTCGGCCGAGAGCTCGCCGATCTTGGCGGCGAGGTCGTTAATAGTTGGCTGTGGCGCGGCCATTTTGGAAGACAAATAAGAACTGAAAGGGGTATCTATGAAAGCAGATGCAGACATTTCCGAATGGTGTGAAGAGACGTCATTACCAACGAGGGGTTGGAGGGGAAGCTGTCTCTTTTATTTACTCTCTTCGGTCCCTTCATCCCACGAATGCCGGGCTGGACCAGATCTCGCCAAGAAGCGTGTACCTCTCTTCATCGTCTTTTCGTACATGTCAAGGTACAAGCCGTGGGGTTAACGGCGGCTATTTTCTTCATCTAACCTTCCTCTCTTGCTCGTTAGGTAATTAAACCGAGCGTATGCGGTAATGCCACCCACCGCCGAAGACGCTCGCCGTTGCGATGGAGGGGCACTTGTGTGACAGGAAATGCGACGCACACTGCAGATCTGATTAGATTATCTTATCCATCTGAATAATAATCATAAACGGCGTCGAAGGAATACCCCTCCTCGCCAAGCCGCCAAGGGCAGAGCAGAGGGAGAGTTCTGTCAGATTTAGAGGGCTATACGAGCATGAGGCTGCTGTAGAAGCATCGCGAGAGGTTCATTTCGGTAGCCATCCCGTTAGAGCGCCCCGTTCTTGCCCCAGTCCCCTCTTTTTATGCTCCATGTGGCTTGGATGTCACCTCTGGATTTACCACCGTCTGTTTTGGGTATCCATTAAGCCATTGCATTGTGCCATGGGGATCAACGTGGCTTTCGAAAAGGCCCCGGCCTATATTTGACAAGCTGGGCCGCCCCTCCACGAGCTATGCCACCTGTCGATAGCTTGCGATAGGCTAGGGTTGAGGTATTTTCTGCAAGGTTCTTGATGCAGATTGCTGCTGCATCATGTGCGATGATGTAGGCCTGGGATGGCCTTGAATGACGAGCTCGCCCGATTTTTCGGCAGTTTCCGCAGGTCTTCTGTGTTCCGCGGCCTCCGACTTGTCCATCGGATCTCTCCATGTCCCCCTAAAAGTAAAGTTTAGGGGCTCTAGGTGGTAGTGAATACACTGCTAGAATTTAGACTTAATCCCATGAGCTGAACCATTGCGCTGGGAGTCGTTCATCGGGATGTGGGAGAAGGACGGACGAGTTGCCTCAACTCCCCAGGCAATTGGGGGAGGGCCCATCATTTAGGCGCTATCCGAATTACTGGAATGGATTGCAGTTGGACGATGAGTGGTCAGTTCGGACGTTTCTTCACAGGGTCATGAGTCGGCGTCAGGGCTGTCAAGTCGGCCATCTTCAGTCTCGAGGCACTTCGCGTTTGCAGGGTTAGAGTTCGTGTAGCTTGGCGCATCTTGGAAGCTTGTTGTAGACTCACCGCTGAGCCACACTGTCGCATAGAGTGCTCCGCATTTCTTCTCGGCGAGAGAATGAATTGGGTAGACGTCAATGTTGTGCGACTTTGATATGCCAGACAATGCCAGGTTACAGGTATGTGATCCCTCCGGCGAAGTCGAGTCTTGGGGGTGGTAAGATATTCATGACGTGCTCCGCACATGAGCCCACCCAAAAGTTCTAGTCTCGGATTCTTGCAACCATAACTGGCGATCGACTCCATTGCTCTTGGATTCGGCCGTGCCGGCTCGAACTCAGTGCCACTCAGAGACGGTTCAATGGCGGGGTCTACTAGTGACCGAAGACCGAATTTGGGGTTTTCGACGATTTCTTCCGCAGCCTTTCCGACTCTCCACAATGTATCGTCCAATGATGTACTTTTCACGCACTCGGTGTATCGGACAAGTCTTCCACTTGGGTTTACTGCGGCCGCTGAGAAGCTTTTTCTTCTTAATCTCATCCACGCCTCGAAATTTCCACTGACATTGAATCCACTTCCAGCTCTACATATGTACACATCCCCGCCGAGTGGAACTTGCAACTTTTAGACGTCGGGCCTCGGCCAATTTGGGTGGGACTCGTCACTCCTAGAGTTGGTCGGTATTGGCCCCATTGGGGACAGAACCAGGGGTCTAAGCTATCGATGCTATCGGACTAGTATCACGACAGACCTCAGTCTTCAAGATCCCAAACCAAGGAGCATCAAACTTGCTGTGTGAGCAAAACGAACCCGTTTTACCGGGTGGCAATCACAGCCTCTAGGTCACGATGACTTGATTGAAGGGCATTGAGCGGGCACCTGTGGTTCAAATGACTGACAAGGGTGGTGATCTTCACTGACATCTGCGAGCAACGTCTACAAGGTCAGACGTGCTAGGGTCCAATGGACCAATGGCCACCAGAGGGTACACAGGCAAGCCGTTACAGCCTAAAAATCTACAGCCAAGACCCATTGACTCAAGTTAATCGCCAAGGGAGTAGTGATACGTCGGTCCCGAGATGTAGGCCTAATGTCTTGAGCATCTCTAGAACACGGCAGATGGGCAGTCCGAGAACGGAGATAGACATCGCGAGAAGCTTGGTGACGTGTGGGACCATCGAGCTCCTTGAAGTTTGGGCTACAGCATCGTGAAGCGTATCGGCACTTTGTATCATGCGAAAAGTACCAGAATGATCAACTGCCTGTGATGTAGGTTCCCAGACATCAAGCATTGCTTCGCTCTAACGAACTCAGGATGCTTTACAAATGCCCCTCTATTCTGAACTGTGTGAATTCGTCACCTTCCCTTTCCAGTGAGAACTGCCAGCATGTCCTGCTTTGTGCCGTGAGCATCGACTAAACTTGTCCCCCGCACTTGGCGGCCACAGCGTTCCCTTTTGACTTGGGGAGCGTCGAGAAGCCACGGAGCAAATGCCAAAGGAAGGCAATGCCGGTGCTGATGTGGCGCCCTTGCCGATACCGCGGGGAGTTAACCAGAAAAACACGATGCCGATGTATCCATGGACGGTACTAGCTCTCATGTGCCGTTCTTGACTGTATTGTTTCGAACAGCACTGTCGGGCTGACGCAGGAGAGGCATTGCGCCACATTCGCGGGCCGCAAAGCTTCAATCCCAGTCCAAATAGGTAACGGCAGATTATTTGCCCTAGATGTGAAAAGTCTTCTGTGGGACATGAGTAGTTGGGAATACTAAAATTCCAAACAGGCGACTCAGCATACTTCGACGGTTTGTCGTGTGATACTTTCTTCATTCGCGATTGAGATTCCAGATCATTAGTACCATTACCCAGTCTTGAGTCTCCGGTCGAGAGGGCAGGCTTCATCCGTCCTCGCTATGAAGACAACCCCAAAGATTGCTATTCAAGGAATGTGTCACTATACTCTAGATCAGGACTGGATGGTCTACAGGCACATAACGTGATATCACAGATGGCATCTAGATGGATACCGCTTGCAAAAGGCATGGACGCATGTAAACTATCCCCATGCAGTGTGCTACGTACTTATGCTTCTCGACTAGCAACGTCTGGAAGATCTCAAGGGGAAGAAGGCGCATAACGATACAGCAAGAGCTCGGCGAAAGTTGCTGCGCAAGCCATCTTCAAAAACCATTTTCCGCCCCAAATACGAAGGCAAGTTTTGATCAGTGAAGGATACGAAACTTCGTCCAGATGTCGGGGGCTTGCGAGCCGCAAACTGCCAATCCCATTCTCAATACCAACTTCCATGACTACCCAAGCTGTTCCAGCCATGAAGCAGTACTTCCTCACTGTCAAGGCCCGGCCGTGGAGGCTGATCAATCCTCAAGTGTGGCGTCATATCTCCTGCGACGAGAGCTCTGTTTGAGGAGCGAGGGCCATGCCCGCACGCGATGCCGATTACAGTAAAATTATCCAGAAGTTGGTGACCTCAACCCACTGAAAACCCGCCCCTGATAGCCTTAGCCCATAAGCTCGTTGTGATAGATCAAGAATTCGAGTACAATGCCGCCACTCCCGAGTGACCTCCCCGGCAGATTTCCGAAGGTACCTGGATGGAGCCTGGGGAGACTCATCGAAGCCGACACGCCAAATCAATAAAGCTTCGCGACTCACGGCGCTTGCGGCTACTGCTTTAGCCTCTAGGACCATCCCACCGGCACATATGTCTAGTGACGATACCTGGAGCAGTGGAGTATGTCAAGACGCGTGCTGAAACTGTGCCTGCTGGACACGACGCCATGGCGAGTTCTCCGCCTAGAGCTGCGAGAATAACTGGACTGAAATCTGCTTGATATTCTGCAACATCCCCTTTGACTCGAGCCCTTGATGCCTCCTCCCTTCTTACACCACGCTTGTCGCGTTACGCTGTTTCCGTACCGTCCGAACCTGGAAGCCCTCCGTGAGAACCAGGGGTAGCCGGCTAATGCAAATCAACGATCATCCGAATCTCCAAGCAGCCAAGGGATCCACCCGAGCTCTGTAAGATATCCAGCATCAGGCGGAGACAAAATAAGCGGACAGATGCACCAGAAACTGCGACTAGACTGATTGGGTGCCTGACAACCAAGCCCTCTTTCACCCCATTCACAGCAGGCTACGCAGCTCCCACACCTTAGAGAAGATGAGTTACGACTGAGGGCCAGGCTCACCACGAAATTAGACGAGCTTCAAGGGGTGCAGCCGGATTCTGATTCAGGTTGTCACCCTCACTAAGCACAAAGTGCAATCTTCTGAGAATCATCGATAATCAATACCAAGACTCTCAATCAGCCAGGGAGGCATCGGTAACGGAAACGACCGCACAGCGATCGAGAGATACCAGAGCAGAAGAAAGTCACTCGGAATTAAAGGAAGATAATGATCAAACAGTAGTATACCGCGTGACTGAACTCGGACTCGATCACAAAATCGTTGAATCGATATCTTCAGATTCGCAATTTCTAGGCTCTCACCACCCTCTCAACTGATTTGGATGGGTCGGCATACAGACGCCCGACAGTATCACCTCGTTCCAGGCGGTGTAACTCATTCTTCAAGTTCCCGAACGCAACCTCCTCGATAGCAGGAGTAATTTCCTTCTTTGCAACCATTTCCAGCGCTGTCTCAACTTCGTCCATCGATGACCCAACAGATCCCACAAGGTGCACGCCCAAGGCGACGAAGTTGTGCGTGTCGATTGTGGCCTCCTTCTTGGTGAGCCCGACGAGAACAACTTTGCCACCCGCCTTAACGGCTTTGGCGGCGGCAGCGGTGGTAATGCCGACTCCAGCAAAGTCAAGGACAACATCAAACTTGACGCCAGGGAAGTCATCCAGGGATCTTCCGCAGCAGTAGGCCCCAGACATCAGTGCTGCAGGATACTTGCGACGATGGATGTCGACCCCATAGACCTTGGCGCCTTGGTGAGATGCAATTTGAACAGCGGATAACCCAAGGCCACCTAGTCCAATGATGGCAACTTTCGATGATTTTTGAACTTGCCCCTCAGTTACAACGGCATGATAGGCTGTCGCAACGGCATCTGTGGCAACGGCGGCTTGTGCAAAGCTGACTCCGTCGGGTATGGGCAGGGTCTTCGATTCGTAGAGTAAAACGTATTCGGCGAATCCGCCGTCTATGCCGATGCCGGGGCTTCTGACAACATCTCCGATCTCTACCGGGTGTTTCGCGGTGACTACAGACACGACTTTGTCTCCAGCGGCAAACTTCGAAACCTGAGGTCCGCAACCAACTACTACGCCAGCAATCTCGTGGCCTAGAGTGATGGGCCTGTTCCAAAAGAACGTATTGTCGAGTCCAGAAATTATGTTGCAATCGGTGTGGCAAAGACCGGTCGCTTTGATCTGAACCAGGAGCTGGTCCTTGGCTGGGACCGGAATAGGTAGCTCACGGTACTCCAGGCCTTTCGCTGGGGTTGAGAACTGGTAAGCCTTCATCATCTTATCCATCTATCCAGCGTTCCAGACAATCTAAGAGATGTTTCTCAAAGAATCTATACTTGCTAAAGGTTGTACGTTGTGATATGATCGAACTTTATACTAGTATTTGCGCAAAGGGTGGAAAGCGAGTAGAGAAACAAGGCTAACGGAATTTGATGTGTACAAATCGTAATCTGGGAGGAGTTTTATCACATATTTAACGGCATCTATGCAGCAAGACACTACACATCATGATGACGTCTTACCGTGTGCATGATTACTTAACATCTCCTCAGTCGGAATGGATCAAATCCATTGCGGCAGTTGAAGTTGTTTTTCACCAACATCTACCTAGAGGATCCAGAGACTGGCATCTTGATCTCATTTGGTTCTTCCGTCTACGCCTGTCCGCTCAGAAATTGTCTGGGAGCCGGCGGGCCCGGATTACTCCGGCACTCCATCCGGAACGATTACTGATTAATTACCCCACACGTCGGTCCGTACCTTTAGGTTGCTCCACATTGCCCCGGATCCGAAGTTTGGGGTATGGTTTGGATCTGTGCCATTGAGTAATCAAGTGCAACAGCTGAGCGAAGAGGCTTTGTAAGGTATACAAATGTTCCATTCATTGTACTAAGCATACTAAATCTTGGCCTACGTTAGAGCTTCCGAGGGTGATTTTCCCAGTCGGAAAGGATGACATATCGCGGAGTTTTACCGGAAGGTCAGGACGTCATCCAGCACTGCTCTTGAACGCGAAAAGGGCGATGCAGGCGAAGAAATGTTTATAAAGTCCACTTAAGAGATGCTTAGACTCGAGAATCGATCTCTTTCATCGAAAAGAATACAAGTTAGCAACTTCATCTCACTCAAGTATTCAATATCCAGTCCAGTCACAATCCTCACCGAACTTTGCTCACCATCGGAATGTCTACCTATCAAACAGTGGAGACTCAATATGTCGCCGTCGACAACACCCGAATCGCTTACCGCCGGATCGGGGTAAAGAGTCAGGTCCCTTTGCTTTATATCAACCATCTTCGTGGTTCAATGGACACTCTCGACCCTCTTCTCTTCAATACGATTGCGAAGTCAAGAGAAGTCATCGTATATGACAGCTTTGGTATCGGGCACAGTGAGGGCGAGGTGCCCTCTTCCACTGAAGTCATGGCTTCAATTGCAGCCAAGTTTCTCGCTACCCTTGGTGTTTCCAAGGCTGATGTCATTGGCTTTTCCATGGGAGGTGGTGTGGCTCAGATTCTGGCATGGGACTATCCTCAGCTGGTTCGAAAGTTGATTCTGGCTGGGACTCAACCAGGTGTCGGAGAAGGAGTCGTCCTGCCACCCCGCGAGGTTCTAGAAAGTGCCGGAACAGCCAACGATGAGCCACCTACCAAGGAGGACATGTTCCATCTTTTCTACCACCCGTCGGAAACGAGCGTCGCACTCGGTGAAGCATGGTGGAAACGAATCCATGAGCGAAAGGTTGACGGCGAGGAGCGCAGAGAATACCTGATCGGACCTGGAGCAAGGGCCCAACTGAATGCAATCTTCTCGTTTACGGTTGATACGGACAACTTTGAGCGCATGAAGACTATCAAAGCTCCCACTCTAGTCACCAACGGCCACACTGATATTATGTCGCCAACTTCCAACAGTTTCACTCTTCAACAGAACTTGTCGGATGCTCAGCTCATAATCTATCCTGATGCCGGTCATGGTCATCTATTCCAGTACCCAGAGCTCTATACACAACATCTCAACCTTTTCCTTGGGAGCAAGGAATGAGCTTTCTTAAGGAGTTTTCCGATAGTTCATCACACCTCCAATGTAAAATGTTGACATGCACTTCGCACGATAACATAACATATCGTAATTGTACTTACAATACGTCTGACTGGAAGCTTGATCGAGGTCTGATTTGTTCCAAGCCATTCAAAGGCCATCCAGGTATGTTCAGCGTATGGTCAAGGTGCCGATTAGAAGGTAAAGTTACACCTTGACCGAGTGCCTTCCATCAAGGGAGTTTAGACCCACGAAGCCCTGTCCCATCCAGCTCCGAACCTAACACAATTCTGCTACGCAGCAGTCCTGTCCCATTCAAACCCAAAATACTGAAGTGACGGAAAATTCTGCAATGTGCAGATCAAACTTCATTTCGCACCTACGATTTCGTTTTCTAACCGACATCTAACGCAAAATACAACAATTCACTACCTCATACATCTCCCGTAATTCAGACTTGAACAGCGAACAGAGCCCAATCTATTTGAAGCTCGTCAAGATGCATCTGTCACCCTTCTTTCAGCTCATTGTTGCCGCCTTGATCACTCCTGGCATGGCACTTCCAACTGAGGTTAAAGAAACTGGCCAAGCAGCACCCAGCCATGCGCCCCCGACTGCGATGGCAGACTCCATTTCGGCAAAGGAGTTTGACGGGACTATGACGACCGTATCAACATCAACAAGGTGTATCCACGTAAGTAAACACATCACTGCATTATATGTTGCCAACGTCTGACCTGATCGAAGGCGAGTTTGAGACCCCTTTGCCCTGCACTCTGCGGCATTACCTCGATTGCCGGGGATGATGTCTACTGGGAATGCGTACGTGGATGCGATTGCCGATCCAAAAAGCACGGCGGATATTAGTTTCCAAGATACATCAAATGTAGCGACTACCTACCATGAGGAAATTTGGACCGGCAATCTGGCAACCTTCTCATTTCAAAGGGATCCGCGTCGAAACCTGGATACATCAACAGACCCATATCATTATGAGTGCGGTATAGACATACTGTCCTTACCCAGACAGTCATCAGACAAGGCCAAGGATTCAGATGACACTCTCGGCACCAACTCGACCATATCATCAAGTCGCCAGAACATTTGCCATAAATAGAATAAACATCAAGTCTTGCGGCATTACATCAATAAACGAACCAAGTCAGTAAAAGATTGGCTGTTATTCATGTGACTTGGGTGAAATAGATATTCTTTGACAGACTTTCGTCTTTCTTCATCACGTGTATCTACCCCGTCCAACAACGAAGTTATCAGTATCGCGCGAATCTATAACGAAGTGATATCTACCCATACCTCAAGATACCGTAGCTAAATGTCAACTTTAGTGGATGTGGTTCGAACACAAGATGTGAAGATCTCCTGTAGCCATGGTTAGCACTATCTTGTAGTAAATCACATTTTACGTTAGTGGTCAAGCTCTCTGTCATCAGTCCAAATACACAGTTCCACAGGATCAATTGGACTTCTATTCAGCAATCAAATATATGAGATATTCTCGCTTTCCGTTTCCGATGTACTGAATCAAGCCGAAAGAGCATTCAGATTCAAGCTAACCTGGTGGCTACTTGTGTTTAGAAGACCTCCTCCTGCTCATCATCGTTGGTAAGTTGAACGTTGGGGTCAATATCGCGTTTGAAAACCTCCTCTTGCTCGTCATCGTTGGTGAGCTGAACGTTGGGGTTGATGTCCCTCTTGAAAACCTCCTCCTGCTCGTCGTCGTTTGTCAACTGAACATTAGGGTTGATATCCCTCTTGAAGACTTCCTCCTGCTCGTCGTCGTTCGTGAGCTGGACGTTAGGGTTGATATCGCGGCCCAGGAGACCCTTGGCGGCCTCGGCATCCTCGGGGTTCTCAGCAGCGAGAGCCTGGATGGCGGCGTTGAGCTCGTCTGCACGGGCAGCAAGGGTATCGAGAGGTGCGGCCATGGCGGCAGCGACCAAAGTAGTGAGGGCGACGGTGAAGCGCATGTTGGCGGTATTGACTCGAATGAATGATTAAACTTTGTACGTTGATTTGAAAGAGCGCAGCTCGTAAATGAAGAACGGAGATTATAGAGTGGACCGGCACAAAAATAGGACGCTGAGGATAGAGAGTTCGTCGAAGGATGGAAAGATGCGTGGACGAATACAGGTATTTCAATATTTCTCAGAATCCAATGGGGCGGATGCCTCGGATCGCCACAAACTCATCCAGAGCAAGCTTAGGAACTCCCGAGACGCACTGCTGCCGCAGAGCTGGTGTTGTGGATATCGAATGGCATCCCGCTGACGTTTCTTGGCAACGCGGACTCTATTTCCATTTCGAAACGACGCTTTCGTCTCGCCTTGGCGAACGATTTTGGGTATGTGCTTGCTTACTGTGCTCGTGTTCTGTGGTGTTGTGCTGATGTACATTGCAGAGGCGTTTCGAGTATCAGGCGAATCGCATCCCTTTCTTGCCGTGGGGAGGCCTCGAACAGGGGCAGAGGTTCGTCGGCTCGGTGGGTGGGATTCGTGACCCAGTTTGTTTACGCTGATCAAACCTGGCCAGCATGTCCCGTAGGATATGCGCGATGAGGGGTCTCCCCGCACGGAAAGGCTGTGGGTTGGATGAAGAAACATCGGGTGAAGCGATACTTGTCGGGAGCCTGAGATTCCGTGCTCAGAGCCTCATTTCTTGCATTACATGCTGCACGAGTGCTCGGACGGCGAACGGATGAGATAGGTCTGGTTCTCACATGAATCATTTTAGTGTCCCTCACCCAGAAGACCTGAAAAGCCGGTCACCACAGCCACGTTTGCCTCATAAGCGAGAGACAGCTCATGGTCACGATCCTCCAGTTGCAATAGCGAAACTGGTCCTCGAGGTAAACAAAGATGCGAGTTGCAACTAGGGTTATGTCGATCCTGAAGACCTCCCGAGACGGCCCCATGCCGGGGATTTTTTTTGCCGCCATCCCGCTATTGCGTTGCAGCGTTTCGTTTTGCGTCTTGAGCTGTCCCAAAAGTGTCCCAGCGGCAGCGCGACCGTGCACACGAGGTTCCTCCAGACGCAAACTTGCCGCGTCTTCTTCACCCCACTTTGTAACATACATATGTTATGCATATCTCTTAGGGACATTCTGCTTGTGCTCCGTATAAGTGGTTAGGTTATCCAAGGAACTCGCTGCTGATCGGCGGTCACGAATTACCGATCGATTGGTGGGCCTGGTCGATGTTCCTAGGATCAACGTTGAGACTAAGAAAACAATCCCTTGTTCGTTCCTCTGAGCCAACAGCTTACCCAAGTCGGGAGGCCCTAAAGAACCCAGTCTTGCCAGTGCCACCCTAAAAGCCGAACTACTTGTGGCAAGCGATTTCTATGGTGAGGCAAGTCTGAAGTACAGCCCTGGTGAGCACGGTATCCAGGTCTCGCCTCACCTTTGAGCACAACATAGGGCAGCTTATGCCCTCGCAACGGCCGGCAAATCAGCTGATCGGAGTCACGGCGAGTACGTGATCAGCGCGAGACCTTAGGTGAGACGGTTAAAATACGGGAGGCTCTCGGCTTGCCAAGCAATCTTAAACTGTGCATTCTCAACTCTATGCCGACGACCAGGTAGGCTAACATACATGGCTCATTATTCTCGTAATCATTAAATATCCTTCGACTTCGTTGCCAAGCGATAGTCCATGCCTACCGTCACACTCCCGAACCAAAGCGCCAGCTTATCCACGATAAGGTTCTTTCTTCCATACCAAGGTCCCTGGTTAGTCACCACAGGCATTCGACCGTGCGCGCGGGTGAAGTAGTTGGATGTGGCATCTACACAAGGCAACCTGGGCGAATTCTTCTTCTCCTCATCCGACAAGACGGGGGTGGCAGCAACGGCACCGGTCTTCTGCATCTGCTTGATGACACGGATGCAGAGCCGGGTCACGGTATCGGCGCCAGGAGTCCAGGTTTGAGTGACGTAGCCGATGATTGCAGCCGCGTTGGGCACGCCGTCGAGCATGCATCCGCGCCAGCTGTACTTCTCTCCAACCTTGACCGGGACGCCATCGACAGTGACATCCGTACCTCCGAAAAGCTGCACGTGCAGTCCAGTTGCCGTAACAATAATGTCGGCGGGCAGATGGCGACCGGATTTGGTGAGAATGCCATCCTTGGTGACCGTCTCAATGTGGTCCGTGACAATCTCCGTGTTGGACTGGTGCAGCGTCTTGAAAACATCTCCATCTGGGCACATGTTGAGGCGCTGCTCGAAGGGGTTGTATTTGGGTTTGAAGTGGATATCGACAGGGTAGTCTTTGGGAAGCCGACGCTTTGCATCGAATCGGAGGAACTGCTTGGCCAGGCTGGGGAAGCCCAAAACAACCTGGATAAAGACAGTCTCCAGGAGAAGATCCTTGAGCAGGATGAACCAGTTCGCCAAGAACAGAGGTAGGAACCTTTTCGCGGCTTTGTCGACTGGTGATTCTGCCCCTAGTGCGAAAACATACGACGGACTGCGCTGGAGGATGGTGGTGAAGCCAGCTGTTTTGGCGATATTGGGAAATAAGGTCATGGTGGTGGCGCCGGAGCCGATGATGATGACGCGCTTTCCAGCGTAGTCAAGGTCTTCGGGCCACCACTGAGGGTGGATCGTCTTGCCCTCAAAGCTCTCGATTCCGGGAATGTGTGTCTCCAGGGCCTTCTCGTAGGAATAGTATCCGGAGCAAACAAAGAGAAACTTTGCTTTGATCTTCTTGGTTCCCTGGGGGGTATTGCACTCCAGAGTCCATCGGGCCTCATCGCTGTCCCAATCTGATGACAACACCTTGTGCTGGAATCGGATGTGCTTGTCGATGTGGTGTGTCTTGACAGCATCTTCAATGTAAGCCGCAATGGGCGCGCCCTCGATGATCTTCTTGTCGTGAGGCCATGGATGCCATCCGAAGCCAAAGTTCGTCATGTTCGAGTCGGAGCGAAATCCGGGATATTTCCAGTAAGACCACGTCCCACCGACTACGTCACGGGCCTCGAGCACCGCGAAGGTGCTGTCTGGCAGCTCTGTCCGCACACGGTACGCGGCATTGACGCCGGAGATGCCTGCGCCAAGAATGAGGATGTCGAGTTCTTCCGCCATAGTTTCGATGGTCTGCTGTCAAGTTGGTGATAGACCTCTCAACACTTGAGGTCGTGATGGTAGCAAAGATCTTATGTATGGAAACTCGTGCGATCAGAGGATTTTTTGTTGAGGCAACGTGCATGCCGAGGCTTTTTTTTCCTAGCGGGTCATGCACGCGTCGATCTCGTGCTTGGTGGAGGATGCCATGCAGGGGCTCGCATGTCTTAAAGCGTCTTGACGCCTCCTCAACCCCTCGATCCAGCCTCTCTTTGGCTGCTTCGTCCCTCCACTACCATGCGAATGCGAACGACAGCGTCAATCAAAACACGTGCCTCGGCACATTTGACGCTTCGACAGCGCTTCTGTGCGTCTATCGACCTATCCATTTGACGGCAACTATCACAATTGTCTTTACGCTTTGGATTATTCGCCGTCGCCTCATGTTTGTGCCTCGGCAAGCATCTCTTACTCGCATTCGTTCGACTTCAGAAGGCATAGACCGATGCTCATACAGGATTTTGTATCAGAGCAACTGAAAACTATGTGGTTTCAATTACACTAATGATGGCAGACATCGATCTATCCTCCTAATTTCACATGCGAATGCCAACGCAAGCGGTTGGTGGGCGGCAACAATTGGATGGATGGATCAAAACAGAGTTGCGTTAGTGAGATCCGTCAGTGGTTCGTGTCATGTGATGTTGTTCGAGTTCAACACTAGAAGGCCTCGTCTATGCGGCCGAGTCTTGGGTGTTGCCACGCGGCGCTTCTAGTCCGGTCAAGTAGTCAATTTTTTATTGCTACCTTGCTGTCGTGGAATGGGTAATAGGAATTCTGGTGGCGAATGTTTTACGTCTATCTTTGTTGAGATAGGAAAAATGAACGTACTATGCGTACCTGAGGTGTTTCTGTGAAAAGTTCAGAGACGGGAGACAACCCATCGTTGAGAGTGAGAGATTTAAGAAAGAAGCAGTCTAAATGTCTGATGCGTAGCAGCACCCCACGTGATAATATCATCATATATTGCACCGGATTTGCAGTGCGGTGAGTTCCATAGTGATGCTAGGTAGGTCTCATGGAACCATCAGTCCATTTATCATCTGATTGAACGACGTCATCATGCTCATCCATTTCGCCAAGGCTATTTATCCTGTCGCCCACGTGGCAGAGCTAGACCATATTCTACAACTGCCAACATAGGTAATACGCAGGGCAGGTCGACTGGGCAAGATAGATACCATACTCACTAGTTACCGTAGATGATAAGCTTACCTACAAAAATTTGTATAACACGCACAATCCGGCATTGGATTTATCCAATCGAACCATCCTTCTAGTACTTCTCCCTTGTTCCCATGCAGAACCAGACGGATGTTAGCACAAAGGTTCGGACGTCGGTTCATGACACAACGATGTTACCTGTTTGGACGTTCTAAATATGCCTATTTTGGCAGGTTACCGAGTGGGCCGGAAGCCAGGAGTGGTAGGAGAACAAAACCTGGAGAGGTATTTTCCAGGGAGTAGGACCGGTAGCTGAATAAGGTACCTAATTCAAGGAATGCTTTTTGAATCAAACTGACTAAAGAACAAACATCTGGTTCCAAGCCAACACACACATCCACAGTGATGACTGCACTGTCAATTCTAAACCTGGCTTTGGAACTTTGAGCACTGCAATGGACAAACCAGCTAGAAACGTGCAACTTTATATGCGTTGAACTAATCGCTTGGGTCTCAGTAACTTCCAACATGCTCATTGCTGTGACTCTAATAAGCCTAAATAACTAAATGCACGCCAACATAAGCATGATGAGCGCTAAAAAGACCATTAAAGATATTGCAGTTTATTACACAAGCCACGAGCTATCAGCTTCGCGAATCAAATAGCTACGAACAGTGATCTCTATAGAGACCGTGATATTTATGTGAAGTCAGTGATGCTTTGAAATTGAAGTGGTTCAATTTTCAGCAACACTCTGAGTTCAGACTAAAAGACTACTTCTGCTTCTGTTACTACAATTTTCCGTGCGTAACTCAGCTACAAAAATGCCAAATGCGAGTTGATGTAAGAAAGACCAGTTTACCAATAACACATTCTCAAAACTCGGGATGAATGGCCCCTGAGCTAGAACTTGTGACATAGATAGTGACCACAAGAAAAGCGTAGATTGAATTGGGTCTACCACAAACGCAACTTTGATGAACTGTGGTGGCCGCCTTATGCTTCAGCGTATGGGCTTTAGTTATATATTTTGGACGATCTGGGTGGCCCCTAAGAAGATCTTAGTATGATAAAGCACTAGAACTTCACTACCTTATGTACAATAAGAATCATAGCCTATTGCCTCATAGCCACCGTCCATTTGGTCCGGTATATCCTACTCATGATGAAACCTTGTTAGATCATCAGTTCGAGACTAGGCTACGCAGTTGGGTGTTCTGAATGCCAATGCTCATTTGCACGAGGCCGGACGAACGACATTGCTATCACGTTGATACGAAAGTTCTGTGGGTAAAATTGAAGTTCTCCTGGCAATCTTCCCTATCTGCCGGCCGACGGACCGAGACCCGGCCCCGTCATCGGTAATCATCAGAGTTATTTGAGGCAGCGCTCGGTGGTATGGAGGCAGCTCGGAAATTTGAGGCTCTGCGCCATTCGATCACGCCTTTTGATAGTTCAATAGGCAATTTGGTCTTCCAAAACCGGCCAAGCCACTATCGGTCTCATTTTCGAGACCTCTATGCCTAACGCCGACAACTTCGTCTCACATCAGCGGCTTCTACCATGCCAAACAGCATCATCCGGGTCGCGGGGTTAGGCGTTACGTTGGCCGAGCGGGGTATTCTCCTTGGTTCTGCGGCGAAGCAATTGACTTCAGAGTGAAACTTTGCGGGGTATCATCATCATCGGCGTCAAATCGGGTGGGGATCCGATAGCCTAGGCGCCCTCATAATTGCAACGAGGAGATATGCAATCGTGAAGATTAGGCGGAACGGGCAAGTTTATCCCAGTTGCGTGCTCGAATCAACGTTTGACTGACAGCATTCGGC